ATCGTTGCGAACACCAACATAGCCAGCATGTGTAGTTCACCTCGCAGGGGCGTATCGCTCGTTCGGCATGTCTGCCGTAGATTTCGTTCCGAATTTCAAAGAGCTGACGCTTGGACCGTACCTTAGGCGCACTAAGCCCACTAAACCAACATCCACACTCCAGAGCTATGAGATTAAAATCACGGGGACTCGTAGTCAACACAACGATAACAAGCATGGAATTCACTGTACATCCAGTATGTCTTTCGGCTATCCTAAACTCCAAAATATTTTTCGGATTCGTATCACATTTAACAGCCATATCCCAACATCGCATATTGCGGACTAAAACATCCAATCAGCGAGCCTTAAACCATAGCTGAGGATCTGGGGTAATCAGTTCAGTGGCTTGTGTATCGCATGATGCTCGAAATGTCCCGTCTGTTTCCGGTTATTTTTATTTTGAAATTTAGCTTTCTGACGCAGCCAAAAAGCCAGCAGATTATGGAATCAAACAAATCAACTAAAAACACAGATACCATTGGTGTGTTATTGGTCGCGCAAGCTCAATTCACACAATCGCTGTCGCGGAATTTAGAAAAGCACTAACACATTAGGAAGAAAAAAAGATTTAAAAACAATACAGATTCAGCTATTCTGAGGCCGGACATTTCTTTTCCTCACAGACGAAAAAACCAGTCTGACATTATACGATATATCAAACATCAACCAATCCTCAAATGGCTGAATAATTGCGTAAGAAGACGTTTTATATGACCAAGCTACACAGTTTACCAGACACGATGGGACGAAGACGTTGTGCAGGACACCACTTACTCCCCAAATCAAATACATTGCCTTTAAATCGTTCTGTGTGACACGAAAAAAAGGGGGAAATCGTGTTGGTGAACACGAATCAATAGACCTCAATGTTGTGACTATAAACAACCGAAATGCCGTGAGACCAGGGGCGGATCTACCGGGGTGGCATGGGGGTAAAAAAAGCCCTTGCCACCCCAGCTGCCACCCCCATCCAAAAATAATAAACAAAAAACAACAACAAAAAAAAAAAAAAAAAAAAAAAAAAACACACAAAAAAAAAAAAAAAAAAACAAATAAAAAAAAAACAGTTGGCTCTTGTTTTGAAAGAAAAGTGATGGCTCATCGGACATTTTATGAAGAAAGAATCTATGTCCGAGTGCAAGTGGATGCCAGCACAAGAAGCGAGTCTTGTAAACCCCTCCCCAGGCCTGGCGCGAGCTTGGAAATGTGATTGGCCGCGATTTCATTTGAACGAGTAAGCATTCGGACTCAAGTAGACGGAAGGAATGAGGTATTTGGCGGTACTAGTAATACCATTATTATTATTATTATTATTAAGTTTGGCTGTTCTCAGCATTGAATCAAAACGCACCATAGCTTTAAATCTTAATAAGTTTGTGAGGCGTTTTGCTGATCAAGATGGTAATCGCCACATTCAGCTGTTATAGGCATGCCAACTTGATGCTCTGCTCACGGATGAGTCGATGAGAATAATAAACTGTTTAAGAAGATGACCTTACATGTGTAAATACATGTTTCTTCTTTGTGGGGGTTTGCCCCCAAAAAACAGTTTCAAGTCCTGAGAAAGTCAAATAAGACGGTGTGTAAAACTTCACTGCCCAGCCAAAAAAAAGTAACTACTTTGATTTAACTAGGCCAGTAGGTAAGGGCTTTCCACTGGATCATAACTGCAGTGATATATATGTTTTAGCTGAATACACGTTTTTTAACCCTAACGGATGCAGTTAGTCACTTCTTTAATGTTTGTTCTTTCTGATGTAAAGTCAAGGTTGTAACTGTTTGCAATGAAGTCGTTGGGCGCTGAACTGTTCCTTTGATTCTTTTGATATATGATAGTAATTACTTGTCTTTCAAATTTGAAGGAGGGTGAGCAATCCTCTTGAGGAACATTCATCATTAACTCCTCCAAAAAATATAGTTTATTTAATAATAACACTGAATATGTGAATCATAACAGTGATTGACAGCTGATAGGAATAATATGATTGTTAATAGTATCATATTAATTTAGACAAACATCAACGAGACAGTTAATTAATGTACTTATTGCAGCAGTCTGCATAGATTTGGTACCCCTGCTGGTCTAAAAGTGAGACAAACTCATTCAGTTATTGTTCAGTTAAAATTAATTAAATTAAGTCTGCCACCTTATATATTTATATTTAAGGCTTTACTGATGTGCCACAATAATCTCACCAAATGTTATCGAGTTAAAATATTAATATTGTGGCTTTCCAAGTTAACAGTGATTGATATGACTGCGATTAAATCAGCATATACTTCTGCCAGGGGATGCCACCCCTGAAATTCTCCTGCCACCCTCTTGCCACCCCATGAATATTTTTCTAGATCCGCCCCTGGTTGTGCCCATGTCATGATATAATGAAGTGCCCGTGAGTGGCTTTATTTTTGTGAGAAAAGGAAGAAAAGAGGAGATGAGAGGTGACGTTTTGAGTCATACACTGGCGTTAACATGCTGTCCACACACTCCTTTCACAGTTGCGATCGGGACTAAATTAAAGGTGCCCTCTGGAGCTTTGGACCACTAGTTATTGCAGATAAGTGGATCCCTGTTTCATTCGTATCTCTTGCTCTATGCACATGATGACACCAGCCCAGTTTCCTTAAAGGAGAACTGATTTTCCACACCAAAGTTGTTCCCAGTACTCCCGGAGCATTACTGAGAAAAAACATGGTAGCCTATAAAGCTGTTTGTGGCTCCAAAGGGGGCCGTGTGAAGTTTGATAAACGGGTAGGGTCTGAAGACCACAAGTCTGACAGTCTGTGTGGGTGTGGAGTTCGAAAGAAGCTATAATAATGCATCAATGTTTTGTTCTTTTTTTATTTTTTAAACAGTCCCTTGCTTTTTGGAGTTGTCCCTTTCCTGTAGATTGTAAGGTCAGATTTGTGTATGATAGGAACACTTTAATACTTAACTACACCTTTTACCAAGGTGACTTTCTGTTAGGAACCTTGACTCAATAGTTTAGAGGACTCAAATGCACAACCCAGAGACAAAAAAGGTTTGAAGAAAAATAATCTTTACTTTACTTGACAAAAGTAAAGCGCTCACATGGAGGGAAAAAGGCAAAACACTGA